TGTTGGAAGACAACGTAGCAGGGTTACATTGCGTGTGTGTGAATGAGAAAAATCCAGTCGCAAAAGGACGTTAACATCGGTTAGAAAACAAAAGGGCTATCAACAGTATAGAGTCATTGACACTGTTGGTTATAGATTTTGTATTGGTGATGAGCAAACGATTTCTATCGCCAATATAAGAATGTTGTGAAAGAGGGTTACTCAAAACGGCCAAAATGCAACACATTATTAGTAGATCGGTCAGGGAGAGGGAGATGATACGGAGGTAAACGATAATGAAGGGGCAGAGGAATTATAGGAAGACATAATCTCTAACATGCGGATGACTTTAACACAAGTACATCTTCAATATAAAAAACTAGTCGTCTTACAATGACATTTAACCCCAGAAACTGCGACACACGATAGTACATGCCTGTCGAAGAGATATTGTTCCGTTGCTGTATCCAGTTCGAGAAGCAGGGCGCCCTTCTACAATTCTGTCGCCCTGTATTGACTTCAAGGTGTCCTGTTCCACAATTCAGCGTATAATATCAATAGTGTCGACTTTGCAAAGACACGGGATCTAACAAACAAAATCAAACCAAGGCGAACATGCAACGCATCATACGATAATGTGCGTTGATGGTTCTCAAACACATCATACGATCCATAACACTCAAATGTTATCTTTTTTGCTAATGTGCGAATCCAATTGTACAAAGGATGTGCGTTGAGGTATTGGACATTAAACTCATTCACACGATTTATGATTATCGAACGCGATCTCGTTAGCAGTTTACGGTTAGATAGTAAAAGTAGTCGCTTGCTGTCAATGTGTGAATCTAATCGTACGACGATTTGCATTGAAATTATTGGTACAATTTTTAACATGATCTTTGTATTTTGATGCTTGCATCTGATGTTTGTTTTTAAGTAATCATATGCTCTTTAGCATTACGGTTAGACTGTAAATACAGTATAATGTACTTCACTGGTACAAGTTTTAACGTTACGGTTAGACTAATATAATTTTAGCCTGAATGTAAATATATCTATTTGTACTTACGGTTAGATTGTATATTGATATTTGTCGAACTACGTGTAATATACAATATTGCAATTTGACAGGTTAAACTAAGAACTTTGTCATCGATCTCGTTTATTTTAATAATGTGATAACAATTCCCACGAATGTTTCGATGCTTGACATTAGTTTCAAATGCCAAATTCAGACATAATTCATATTTCGATGGTCGACAGACATTTTTCTCTACACTAACGATGATAAAACATCAAGCAAGTTATCGCATGAATTAGATGCAATTTAAATGTCGTAAATAAAACTTGAAACTTTGCGTTTGGAAAAAATAATAAAGGTCTAAAAGACCATTATAGAGAATTTGTAGATGGGAGTTGTGAGATGACTGAGTTCTGGACTGAGGTATGTATAACGGGTACAACTGCATTTGCACATTCTCAGAATTCCGACCTTTAGTCAGTGATGATTTGCTGTCGGAAAATTACACTAGTCCAAATTGGTGTTACGATAACTCTATACAGATGACGGGAACTTTGTAAACTGAACGAACACGATAATATTCCAGCTCTGTCAATCAAGAATGAAATGGTAAGCATAGCAAGGACAGACATTACACATATCGCCCTGACATTCTCAAGATCGCATTTTGGAACATTCCATCAACCTGTTATCCTCAAACATCTCCTTACTCTTCCAATCCACAATCTCCGTATTAGTTAAGCATACAGTATATTGAATAATTTCAACCTGCAGTGTATCGGCATGACCCGATGCGAGAGTTTGTCTGCTTGTTCCTATAATATTCATGTGGTAAGACATTTCGTAACAGCCTAACACACTACATAAAGTGTAAGGTGCCTTATTCATAAGAACAGTAATAACAACAACCGTAACAATAACAATAACAATAACAATAAACAACATCCACAACGGCTGCAACATCAACGACAGCAACAACAGCGACAACAGCAACATCAACGACAGCTGCAAACAACTGCAACAACGGCTGCACTTTTGTCCCTGCCTTGCCTCAACCGAAATGTGTGGATATCGTTATGTATTCCATGTGGTATGCATCGTTCAATCGTTTTAAACGGTAAATTATTAATAGGTTCTTTCTCATTTGCACATTAGTATACCATACACATCCCGTTCAGTAGTTAATGCTTCTAATAATTCACCTTTTTCTCCTTGCTTTGTGACTTGGTCCATTAGTGTTTTTTTTTCCGCAATTTTGGCTCTTAATTCTTCAATTGTCCCTTCATTCCTTTTCCCACTATCGGCTAACTCTGTAGTCACCATATCCATTTTACTTACTATATATGTTATACCCATCTCTTATTAATACATATCCTCTTTACCCTTAATAGTTTACTTTTGTTTATTATCATTAACAATGTCCTTGAAATAAAAAGAACTTGGGACAAGCATCATATACCCAAGAGGGAACGTGCTCATCTGTTTTGTTTTCTTGTGTTCAAAACAATAAGTTGGCGGAAAGTTCCATCATCGAGGAACAAGTTAAAACCGGAACAATAAATAGTCGTACAAGTACACAAACATTGTACTATTTGTGCTTATCTTGGATTTGTGTGGGGTTGCGAAGAACAAACGCAGCTTTATTTGAACGTACCGCAACTCTTATATAACAATAATAGGCGCAAAGTAAAACAGTAAACACTAAAATACGCACAATCGCCATTCAACTCAGTCAACCAAACTCCGTTCAATCATCCGCAAACCATCCAATTATCTTTCTACTCAATTAACGTGGGAGAATGTTTGCTAGAATTTCAACTAGGAGAATGTCGAACAAACGATAAATAAGAATAATAACAGCAACGATAACAACTGCAACACTAGCGTGACAGTTTGCAAATTAGCAATAAAGAAACAAGATATCATTTTTTTTATATTAGACACATTTGTTATGATAATATCTGTAATATAACATAGTCACTTGTAAAGTATCTGATTATTATGGTAGATTGTGCGTTGGAATCATGGAGAAACCTTATTTTTTGCAGGCTACACCATCCCTCTAGTTATATTTATAGCCATCATTCTATGTATGGTAAAATATTTCCTTTTTAGCTAGTACCATTCTCGTCGAATTGACATCTTGGGATGTCGATGGTGTTACCACCGTGGGTATATAGACTAACCAATTTTACTTATCGTAAAAAACCATCGTTCTTATCTTTTCCTCCGTCAATATGGCACACACACCCAACACCTCTCATCTACAAAGCTCGACGGATGGTAGCAATTTTCCCATTAATTTACCATTAGGAGTTCCTACCCAGGCCGTCCTTAACAATTTTATGACGACTGACGCCGTTGGTCCATATGGTAATCCGGACCCGAAGAATTCAGTAATATACACAGTCGCTAGTGATGGTACCCCGATAATTCCTGTAATTTCTTACGATAACCCGATCGTTACCAGTGTGCCTCCATCGTCGCCACCACTGGCTAAATTTCGCAAGAAGGACATCTACATTGTAATAGCTGCATTAGCGCTTATTATGGCGGGCGCTATAATGATGGGAGTGGGCAAATCATCCTATGAAAGTTGTGACAATAAGTGTGCACAGCAGTACCTTGTCACCATTTCTCTTCAATCTATTAATAATTACAATGTCTGTCTTGACAAATGCAAAAAACCATATAATGCATTAAAAGGTACCGGCATTGCCCTTTTGGTTATTGGTGCAGTTTTGATACTGGGAGATGGGGCTTTCGTGTACCGGCGGCAGCAGCAGCAGCAGCAGCAACTACTATTGCAGCAAATACAGCAACTACAAAATCAACAGTCAATGCAGCAGATGCAAATATAAGATAAATGGTAGTATAATTATATTACTTTTATAATAATCTTGTTTTTTATTAGTTAAAGGGGTGGTTAGGCTTCTCTTGCCTTTTCTGTTGATATTATTTCAATGCTACTTGATCAAGAAATGTAATGTAAAATATTTGTAAGGCTTGTAATACCTAATTAAAATCTTTCGATGATGGTAGAACCTTCTCAAAGCTTTAAGCCTTCTCAACATGCATGCTTGAATCAGGTTGCGGATTGTATAATCGATAAACAATAAATTGATTGCTACTATATTATAGTGAAAATTCTTGTTATTAGTTTAGTATGGCGAGGTTAGTACTAGCAATAATCACGTTACGACATGACCTGTTTATAGTAATCGACGATTACTGGCCTGTGTTTGACTATTTTGCCAAACTTATTTCTTTTGTTTATATAGCCCCCTAATTTACGCCATCTCAACCGTTGATGGGTCTAACATTACAGCTAAAAAAAATCGCACAGTTACTTGCATTGTCTTACACAACTTTTTTTACAAATTCGGGTAATACAATGACAAACCCAGAGTAATTTTGTAAAGATGACTTTTACGAAAAACTATAGCGGATAAACAAAAACTTGAGGATCTGCACTTTTGTTTCCTAACAGATTTTCATCTTTGAGTTACCGTGTTAAATTATATAGACTTATTGCATTCGAATTCGTATTCTAACTGAAACAAAAAAAAATAACCAAAGAGTTGGTTGCTTTGTGGTGTGAGTGGGCTTGCTGAATGATTTACGTCGAATAAGATTAAGGCTGTAGCAACACAATCCTAACGTATTGATAATGTAGACCGAGGGGAAAAAACCATAGAATAAATAAATAAACATCATTATTCCATGTTACATATGAAGTGTCTCTAATATCGCTGGATGTTACGGTCTTTATTAGGCTAATATACACTGGGTCTTGTAATAAACAGTTGAAAAAATGTTTATAAAACGTAAACTGTCAATCGTTAATGTCACCCCTCGACTGACTTTTAGTTTTTTTTTTCTGTATATAATTTTATTAGACACCAATAGGAGTTTGATTCGGATAGTGATGCTGTCTGTAAGGTGTGTGATTCTGAGAATAGAGGAAACAACTGAACGACAAATACAATCAACTCTCTTTAAATGCTCAGTCCCATTATTTGTTATGGGACTTAAGAGATAGATGCTGTTCTACGTACTGCAATTTACAAGCATTTTTTCGGCCATCCCTATATGAGCGTTTTTCTGGTTACATAATCGTATTGAGAAATTATAAGGTTATAATCTGGATAGGTTATGATGGTGGGGTAGTTACTTTATAGCATTGCAAACTCTTATTAATGCTTACGGTATTGGATCAATACAGTAATATTGATAAGTTGAAATAAAGCACTGTCTAACGTCACGAATATTAGTGTATATATTTATGCGAAGAGGTCACGTGAAACAAAATGATTGTTCAATTAGTGCATGCTCTCCATTAATGCAAGTAAGGTTCCGACGACATGCACTTAGTATTAGAGAGGGTTGACTGTACAACGGATAGACCATATCAAATTAGTAGAGTAAAAATGATATTGTGACGGAAGCTTTGCTAATCCAAGCAAGACGAATGTACTTTGAGTTCTATTTAACTCTTGGCTTGAGTGTCTTTAAATGATACTAAAAAATGAATAATTCTCGCTTGTCATACAGATAACTTTTATTCGAAAAATAACTGACTAATCTCAATAGTAGACGTGATGCTACGGAATTAGTATGCTACTTGAAATTTTTGCGCTCTCCGCAGTAATTCTCACGGATAGAGCGAGTATTAAGAAGTACTCCAATAAAGTACGCTTTCTAATACTTAATTTAAGTTAATAGGGAACGAATAGACTCGCCTATATATGACTAGCATAAAGGCTGACTGTAGTGTATTTTGTATGTTATTGAGATTATCTTTCCTTGAAGCTTTGCTGACTTGTATATCAGTACGACCCACAGTCCAACTTAATAAGCCAGGCGACATATCAAAGCCCAACCCTAATAACATAGAGTGTGACAACTTATATCTGGACATCATTCACTAGTGCTGCCAATAAGATTGTAAAGTTGAGCCATTCGTTAGCATATATTCTGACTTCGTTGCGTGCGTGGGATGATTGATTGAATTAATATATGCGTAAAAAGTTCTTGCCGCCTGGCTTTATTTCGAAAGTTACATAATAGTTTTAAACCCAACTAAACTATTCTTTCAAAATAATCTCCTTCTACATTTATACATTTTTGTAATCTTTTCTACCAACTTTCAAAAGACTTGTGAATTTTTTTTGTGAGATGCTGTCAACAACTGCCTGAAGGACTTCTGGATCAAGGGTCATCTTCCAAGCAGTCTCTACCATCATTGAAAGTTTTATCCAGCTGTCAAACTGTGCGTAATGTCAGCGCTTTATCTCTACAAGATTTCATTAATTTTGCATTAATTTTACTAACGTCTGTCGCGTCTTGCCAATGTAGAATATTGGTTCACGTAAAATTCAAGCCAGTGGTTTTGATGAACAAACTTTAAACGAAGATACAGTATCTCAACAAATATCTATTTAAAACAAACCAAATATGGTTTAGTTACTCTGTCATAGGCTATCAGCTCGTAAATGAGAGGCATGCGTCAAAAACTTTTTGAACCATCCACGCATTTCAAATTATCTGCCACCACCACAAGGTACTGAACGAATATTAAGCGATTACTGCGTCCACAAAAACTGCTATATTTCAAGGACAGGGTGTGTACAGTCACACGGTTTCCTATAACAGTTTGCTTTTACTGATCGAAAAATCTGTATACGAATCAGCAGCGTTCTCGACAATTTCTAAAAGCTCAAGAATACCTGCCGCATTACTCCCGTTATGCAGTAACTTCGAACTGCTCTTTGAAGAGGGAGACTCTATATAGCATGTGCTAAATCTGTTTCTGTGTAGGCACAGAGTTTATGACAAAACTTAAGAACGTTTACGATATGGATTGCAAAAAATCTGACTGATAACAAAAGCTGGAGAAAGGCAAGTAGTTATTTGTATTTGTAAATTTCGAATTTGGCCAAAGATTAACATCTTCTTCATTAACTAATAATCATTTGATTTATAGCTTTTAGTTATATTATTTGATAAAGATTTTATCTACAGTATGATGAGTAGATAGTTTCTTCAAGACTTTCATTGATATTGATAGAGGTTTGATGGATTATTATCATTATACGTCTACAGGATGGAGATCTTATCTTATTATCACTAGCACAAAATATCGATATGCTTCGTCAGAAGCAATATTTTGCTACCAATCCTGTCAATTGAAACATTGCGGCAACACCTGGCAAAAATACTCCTACGGTTTAGGAGCAATGGCGCAATAGACGATTGGTATTTCTTTGGTGCCCTTATAAAAAAAAAAACGACTATTTACCTCGCTTACCCTCCTTCGAGATAAAAGAAATTTCGACACGCTAATAGCTATATGGCGGCAGGTCTCTGAGAAGGATTATATGACGAACAATGGAACGTGGGTTCTTTATATGCATATCAGTAAAGCTGTTATCTGCCATTTAAACTAACTGTTTTTTTGCGAAATCCTGTAGCTAAACTTGACAAGGTTTGAATCTTTTATGGCAGAGCTGGCAAGGAGGAAACAAGAGTGAGCATAAAATAAAAAGCCTGGCATCACTTCTACACGTAACTTTTATTGATGTATATAACAAATAGGTACGACAATGCGAGAAATCTGTTGGTGCTAAAAATAATGATGATATCAGGTGAATAAAGAAGAAGTATTACATAATAAATAATTTACCATCCCTATCGACCTTCATTGACCTTTTTATATCCAACTAATTTTTACCATGAGATAAGCTGTGGGAACCCGGATTCAAAGAGCGACGTTGTAAGCAAAAGTTTGGTAAATTAGAGTTTTCCAGAGAGTAAGTTAACATTCTTCCTTCACCAACGCGGCGCGGCTATATAATCTGTGTTTCTTATTATTGGTCAATCTCCAAAGAGTTGTAAAAGCATACGTTCAAAGACTTTGTTGGCTATTGGAATATAATTATAAGGGCGTTTGTTCGTGGAGATGGTTTTACCCTTTTCACTACGCACCTTTAGCATCTGATTTTGTCAACCTTGTCGAGATTTCAATGTCGACAAGCCTTTCAAACCCTTTGAGCAGTTAATGGGAGTAATGCCGATTGCAAGGTTTGTTCCAATTTG